TTTTCTTCCAGTCCAAAGGTTTTGGCTGCTCTCATCACTGACATTTGTGACCCACTTGGTGTTAAAGATATCAGCAAGCTCTTGAACTAGGTAAAGAGGACTTTCAGGGATTCTATCTGGGAGAGTGTGTTGGTAAGGGAGGTCAGGGCAACTTCAGCTTGGAACTATTCCAGAAACTACCTCTGGGTGTCCTTTTCCATGTGCCAGATGCTTCTAATTAAAAATGAACTTGGAGGCAGACAGTCTGTGTCCCAGTCTTGCCTCTGCTAAAACTCGTTATGTGACCATGGACACACATTTCCTTTCTCTGGTTCTTGGATGCCCACCTGAAGAGTAGTGGGCTTGAACCACATTAGCTTCCATTTCCTTGTCAGGATAATCCTTGTTATCCTCAGGAATTTCCTTGGTTCTCTAGCTGGTATTGGTTCCCATAGGAGGACCCAGATCTGTGGAGTCCACAGCACACAGGGAGGGAATGGAGAGTTTTGTGGCAGATGTAACATGTTGTCAGGAGGGGGTAGATTTGGAACTGCTATACTGATTCTGATCTTCTGAGTACTAGAAGATGGTGGTGCTGATCCCATTCTTGTTCCTTCCTAGCTCTTCTCATGCTGATTATGTGAACGTTGCACACATTGACCTTCAGTTTCAGTTTCTTAGCTGGTCTCTGAGTGAGGCAATGGGGATTCCCTAGGATTTCCCAGCATTGATTGTGACCTTCTCCTGCCCATACTGACATGCAATTAGTGACTGTTGACTGTGAATCTATGTTCCATGAGAGGGATAGTATAGGAGAACCAGCATGACTTTCTAAATTCCACTCCATCCTTTGGGGCCCAGGCAGGCCTACCTACTGCCCTCTCCCCTCTCAACTCCCACAGGCTTAGCTCCAGGGACACCCTAATTGGCAGATACAGTAATGACATGTGAACCATTTTCTACTCTCGGCTAGATTTTGTACTTCTTGAAAACAAAAAGTACTTTTGGGATAGTCTTTGCATTGTTTTGAAAATTGTTGTGATTTGAAAAATATATTTTTAAATAGTTTGGTATAGTTCAATAGTGGTTTCATAACGAGAGGGCGAGGGCACTAATTCTGTTGGATCAGGGCCCTACCCTTGTGACTTTAACTTAACCTCCATTACCTCCTTAGAGACCCGTCTCCCAATGCAGGTGAGTTAGGACCTCAATATATGAATTTTGGGGGGAACACAATATTTCATTCCCTAACAGTGGCAGAGATGGAAAAATAAAGAGGGAACTAGCTATATGCAGTAAAAGTACAAGCACACACACAAAAAGGTATCCACTAAACTGACTTCAGGATGGGGAAGAGGGGCATGTAAATGGATGGGTGTCCAGGAGCTGAAACTATATTGACAATGTTTTGCTTGTGGTGGACAAAGATCTCATTGTACTATTCTTTTTACATTTACTCATTAACTATTTCATAATATTTAAAAAATAATGGAAGACAAAATTATAGTATAATGTAGTAAAAGCTAATGGGGTGGCTGAGTCAAGCCTGATATGCCCGAGGAACACAGAGACAGGGAACCAGGAAGGTTATGGAAAAAGTGACCCAGGGGGACAGGGATGATGCAGGGAATGGGGGAGGCTAGTGGTGGACGGTCAGTAGCAACAACCAAGGCCAGAAACTGGGCCCAGGAGATAGCGAACATGTTGGTCCCTTCTTGGAGTTGTTCAATTTGATGGGGCATGAGACAGCAAGAGCCACATTATTTAACTCAGGCTCTTTACTGGGATGATGTGCCCTTTGGGCTATATTTCTGGTCTTTGTTACCTGCACAAGAGGTTGGTTGTGTTTGGCATGTGATATATCTTTTTTTTTTTTTAAATATTTATTTATTTATGCTACAAGAGCTGGGGTACAGGCCAGAGGTGTGGGGGGGGGTGAGAGGATTCACTATAGAGAGAGTGGGGAGCAGAACAGGCAGATCGACTGAAGGGATCTGATTCTGATTCTGCTGAGGGGAGCAGTGGGTGAGACAGGAGAGGTCTGTTGCGCCATATGAGTCAGCTCCCAGGCGGGGATTGAACTTGTGTGGTGCTGCAGTAGCTGCAGATAGCTTCATAGTGCTGTGACTAAACCCCTTGTGCCACCAGGGAGGACCCCCATGTGATAATGTCTTTGGCTTTTTTTATGTCTTTGGTGTGACTCTCCCTGCTGGGGTGAATTGTGAAGTAGACGATGGGCAGTGTTTCCCAGAGCTGGCCGCTCCCTGCTGCTTTATTTGTCCATTTGTCCACTCCTCCGTCCAGTCTTCCATCTATCCTGCTAGCACCCACTTACTGAGCACTCCCTCTGCCTAGCATGGGGCAAAGTGCTAAGACCTGAAGGCCCAATAAGCCACATTCAACTAATGACCAGTGGGGGTGTTGCCTGATGGAAAATAATAAGGCTCCCTATCTATATGAGGTTTTCATACTTCTAAGCACATTCCTGTGTCTTATCTCACTTAACCCTCAGAGTTGTTGTTTGGTAGGTTTCAATATTTTGATTGAGGAAAATGAGACTTTAAAAGTGACTTGACTTTTGACTTCAAGACAAGGGACTTTTCCTACTCTGCCAGGGTGACGCTAGGCATGACCCGAAGGGCTCAGACTGCGGTTGTCCCCTCTCTGCCTGGAAAAGGTGCCCTCAGACAAGGCTTTCTGTACCCTGTTCTCTGAGAATGGCACAAAGGGTTCTGAGAATGAGCAGGGAGCAGGACCTGGAACCCTCATCGTCATTGGGTCTAGCTGATGAGCAGGTCAACAAGAGGAAAGAATCACTTACGCTACCAGGGACTCAGTTCCCTGTTATAAGTAAACAAGAACAGGGTAACTTTCAAACTGAGCAAAAGAGAATAGAGACTTCTCTAGAAGGTCATCCCAAAGATGACTATTTCCCTGTTCTCTATTTGTTCATCAGTCCATCCAGACCTAGAGAAGGAGTCCTGGAGAGATCCAACAGGAGGAAACCGACCCTGAGTCCTCTGGAGGGAGGCTGACCCTGCCTCTCTAGCAGAAGGCATTTCTTGGCTCCACTCAGAACGTGCCAAGGTTTCCAGGCTCTCTGGGCTCCTTGTTCAATGGGCAGAGCCCCAGATCACACCTCTCCCAGCCCACCTGCAGTCCCTGTTCAGTTTCACTGAGAGCAGGCTCCGTGACGCCAGGGAGAGTGGGCTCCAGCAGGGCTGGGCAACCCAGCGGCAGCTGTGGCCGGTTCAGGGCTGCAGCCAGACAGGGACGCTCTGAGAGAGACTCTGCTTTGAACTTAGAATCTTGTAATCAGAAAACTAAGAGAAGCTCTTTTAATTTCAGCACATGTGCACCTTTTGTGGTCTGCAAAGTATTGGGAATGATATGTAGAGGGAGACTATGATCTTTTCAGGGGCCTAGGAAGGTCTTCATCAGGTTGGGGGCCACCAGGTGTGAGGTGAGGCGTCCTCAGGCTGTGGGGCGTGGGTGGGGTGGGGTGGGGGGGACTGTTCTCCAGGAGGGGAAAAAAGGGAGCAGAGGCTTGGGGGGCCTCAGGTCACCCTGACACCTGCTGCCTAGGCCCAGGGTGGTTTCCTGCCGCTTGCCAGGACGCCAGTGAACAGAGACACAATGGGTTTGTCTCGATAAGTAGATGCTTCCTGTTTTGCTGCGTGGGCTCCTTGCTGGGCATGGAGAGGAAGGGGTTCACGGGTCTGTGTTTTTCAGGTCACCCAGCTCCCTGCGGGAAGGGCGGGGCCAGGTGAGGACGGGGGTCTGCGGGCAGGTGAAAGGGAAAGCAGGGGAGTTTATTCTTCCAGAATTGCTCAGCTAGGTTTCGGCCACCCCAAGAGGGCGAGGCTGGCCACACTGTCCTCTGGCCTCCAGCAGCCCCCAGTCTGCGGTCCCTGGTGGCTGGGGCTGTCGGGGGGGGATCCCGTGGCTCCTTTCTCCTCTCAGTGAGACCTGGTGCTGCCCCCCGTGGTGATCTCTATCTTGGCGTGGTGGCCAGGGCAACCGGAAGCCACTGAAATAGCCTCCGTGGTGAGAGTGGGGGCGGGGAGTGATGAGGTTGGCCTCATCCACCCCTCCAGACCCAGCCCCCCACCCGCCAATCACGCTCCCCTGAGTCTGTGCATGCGGGTTACTGGAAAGCCCACATCTGTGCTGCTCAGCTCCAGACCGTGTGCTGTGGTGGGAGAGTGTGGGGGTCCCTTCTCAGCTCAGCCAGTCAGGTTCCCGAACCCTTCCTCCTGTTTCCTCATCCGGAGATGGAACCCAATGACCCTGGGTGTCCTCTGTGGTTGCATGTTGGAAGGGCTGTGGGGTTCAGAGAAGTTGAGGCTCTGCACATTTAGGAACTCTTAGGAAATCTTTCATCAGAAAGAAAAGATGGGGGGCTCCTCGGGAGACCAGTCTATTCCTTCCCATGTGGCTGTTGAAGCGCACCCCTGCCTCATCCTCCCTGTGCCCCAGCCCATGCACCGTCCATGGCTTCCATCTCCCTCCTGCACCCACTTTGTGCTTTCACCAGTCTGGGCCAACTTTGAGCTCCCCAAAGCAGTGTCTGCTTTCATTCACCTGGGCTTTCCATATGCTCTTTCTCAGGCTAAGATGCTTCTGACTCTTGCTCCCTCTGTCCAGCTCTAATCATTATTTAAGGCCCAGCTCCCCCGGCCCTCACCTGTGTTCCTGATGCCTGGGGTCTGCGCAGCTGCTCGTGCTATGATAATGTCATCAGTCTGATTTGCTTCATAGACGTGCGCCTCTTTCCCCCTTCCTCAATTACAACTAAGTGGCTCTTTTTAAACTTTCTTAGACGCTTAGCACAGCCCCTGGCCTATTCTTGGTGCTCACCCATGGGGTTAAACCAAAGCATTTTTCTGTTGATTCAACCACAAATCCGCTCCACCTAGGGTTCATGAACTAGTGGCCACGTCTTGGTGCTGCTGGGAGCTGGGCAGGGGGCAGAGGCGTGTCAGAGCGTATTTCTAGCCACCTGCCCTTGCTCTTTGCAGGTTGGTGTCAGCTTTGGTGTCTGAGGAAGATTCATGGGGTCCCTGCTCGGGGGAGAGTGCAGGCTGACAAATCAGGTCACTGAATAAGGATGTTGTTTGCGAAGGATGAGAGCTCGTTCTTCTTCAGCACCGGACACATGCCAGATTCAGAAACTTCTTGGGTAAGCTCACCACCACCCTGGGAGGGAAGCACTGCCAGGTCTGTTCTACAGATGGGGAAAGAGAGACGCAGAAGTTACGGGTTTTCCCACAGGAGACGTGCAGCCACAGCGGAGGGTGAGGAATACAGCAACTTGGCTCATTCTGGCTCCTCTACGCCACTCGCTGGAGCAGAACTCAATTTCACAATTGCTGAAAGCCCCCAAATCAAATGTCTCCACTGCCTCCATGCCAGCAAAGGAAAGCCCCAGGTAGCCCTGGTCTCCAGCCAGCACCCACTGCTGAGTCAAACCCTTAATAAGGGCTCCGGGTGGTTGGGGAGGCGGTCACATGCCCGGGTCCCAGCTGCACGGGAGACCGGGAGTTTGAGTTCTTGATTTCCACGTGGGGAGGGAGGGTCCCGAGGGGATTTCCTCCGAAAGGGGGGCTCTCCATCCGACGCTGGACAGGTATGCGTGCGCGAATGGGACAGACACACAGATGTGGCACCAAAGATGCTTGAACACACTCTTGCTCGTTGCTTAGAATGTGGTTTGAAGACAGAATCTTTATTACATAATTGTGTGAGCTATAATTCACCTACAGTAAGCTTCACCAGTTTTTTTTTTTTTTTTTTTAACAAATGCATCAAGTGGGTAACTGCCATCCCTGGGAAGATATAAAGTTTCATGACATCCCCAGACTCCCTCCCCTGGCAACATCCTCAACCCCTGGCAACTGCAGAGCTGGTTTTGGAGCAGAGACTTTCCAAGCAAAGGATACAGGTAGTGATAAAAAGAATCTACATGTAAATATCAACAAATGCAAGTCAGAGTCTCCCTCTCAGCCCCTCTCCTGGCAGTAGGAAAAGACAAAGATTATAGCAAATGGATTGCAAAGATTCAGGGATCATTTCCTTCCCAATGTCAGGTTTGGGTCTTCATGCAGGAGGAAGGGCAAGGAAGCGATGTGGCTCCAGCGCTGTGTGCCTCCTGGCTTAGAAGTGCAGGCAAGCAAGGCCTCCCTGGTGGCACAAGAGGTTAAGACGCAACCTATGAAGCTAACTGCAGCCACTGCAAGCACGAGTTCGATCCCTGGCCAGGGAGAAACCCACATGCCACAGCAGACCTCTCCTGACTTGCCTGCTTCTCCCCTCAGCAGTGGATTTCAGTGGCTCCGCTGTTCTGCTCCCCACTCTGTCTCTGGTGAATCCTCTCACCTGCCCCCCCAGCACCTCTGGCCTGTACCTCAGCTCTTGTATGCGTAAAAATAATAAAATAAAACTTTAAAAAAAAAAAGAAGTACAGGCAAGCAGCCTGGGACAATAGCAGCATCACCCTCACATCTGGCCAGGGCAGGCCCATCTGGCCTCTGACTGCACCCCTCTCTGGAAGGAAGAAACCATTGGTGTATGCCCCTCTTCTCTTCTGTGTCACCGTCCAGGTCCCAGGATCCAGAAGCTCTTTGGCAGGCTGAGAAGGGGGTAATGGGGTAAGACAGAGCTTAGTCAAGCAGGCTGGGGGGCAGGGAGAGAAGGCCAGGCGGGGGTGGGAGGTAAGCTCTCCGAGAAGTCTGAGAAGTCCAATTTGAACATGACCCCTCAAGTCATTATGAAAAGTGTTTTCCATTATGGAAACATATATTTTCAACATGGGTAGAAACTATTTTACTGATCATCTGAGTAGCTTGATTTACAACATAGACAGTTGAACATGTGGTAAATGGGCCTGTATCAGGGTTCGAGCTGTTTCTGGAAAGTTCCAACAAGCCTTAGCTCTCCTTTCCACCAAGATTCCCAGGGAGCAAGGAGTCAGTCACCTGGGTTAGAATGAAATCTGTGCCACTACTTTGGGGAGAAAACCCTTAGGTTTCCAGAACCTTCTTTGGTTGACCTTATTTTTGCTCCAAAGCAGAAAAGGGAAATATACGGGGAGTTTGAGCATACACTCAGGTAAAGAAGGTGCATGTGAATTTGCCCTACAAGAGAGGAAGGGAGAGGGGAGAGATAGACGGAGGGTCTGGGAGGGGGAGGGGAGAGGGAAGGGAGTGAAAGTAGGGGTTGGAGGGGGCTGCTCAGCACAAAGCACTTTGGCTTTTCAGTCATTCCCACTTTCCAAACCAGCTGCTACTTACTCAATTAAGTACTCAGAACCTCAGTTTCAATATCTTCAAAAATACCATCGATACTGGGCTTCTTCGAGTCACTGGCTGTGAGGGCGGGAGGAGGTGGAATCTGGCCTGTGACTGGGAGCAGTTCCTCAGCTGCCTCCGTTCCCTTCTCCTCTCATTGACTGCATCACCCCACCGTTCTGGCATTTTGTAGTATTCTAGCTGAGAAATCTAAAAATAAATTTGAATAAGGTGGGTTTGGAGCTGAGGTCCCTGGCCGGCACTTCTGCGTAAATAGCAGAAGTGAAAAAAAAAAAACAGTTCATTTCTAGTATTTAAAACCCAAATTAACCAACCTCCACCATGTGGGCAACGTATCGTGGAGGGGTGAGGGTGGCAAGGGGATGACTGGGTGTTTTTCTTTGCTGTTTTTGTTTTTGTTCTGTGATGAGTGTGGGGGACTCTCCAGGGTGGGGTGTGTATGTATGAAAGCTGGGCAGATGGAAAATTTCATTCTGTCCCTGACATTATAGGACAGATTGGGGAGTGTTGTCAGAGGGTGAGAAAGGGACCCCACACTCAAAAGTTCCTTGACTGTCAGGCCCTTCCTGCCCCCTGCCCCGGGGTCAAGTTCCTTAATTCGTTTTCGGTGAGTCTGAAGAAAGGCCATCTTTGGGGCCTTGTCTTATTCCTGAAATGCTGGTACATCAGGGGCGTGTTTAAAGGTGTGTGCGTGTGTGTGTGTGTGAGACAGAGACTCATGGAAAGAGAAGGCAAGAGGCTGGCTGATGTAACCACGGACCCAGGTTGATGGGAGTCACACGTTGTTCTTGTCATTTTTATTTATTTTTTATTTTTTAAAAAGATTTATTTATTTATTTATACAAGAACCGGGGTACAGGCTGGACGCGTGTCAGTGTGAGAGGATTCACCAACGACAGAGCAGGGAACAGAACAGGCAGACTGACACAATACACTGCTGAGGGGAGCAGCGGGTGTGACAGGAGAGGTCTGCCGCGCCATGTGGGACCCTCACCGGCTGGCCGGGAATGAACCAGCACTGTAGAGGCTGGGGACAGCTTCACAGCATGGTGCTCAACTGCCTGTGCCACCAGGGGAGGCCCTGTTCTTGTCATTTTTAACAAAATGCTTTCTCATCTCTCAATTCTAATTGTTCACTATTCCTGTAATCCACACAGGCTCAGTGACATGAAGTGAACCCCCCAGGCTCCGAAGTAGAAGAGCCAGGACTTGCACTGGCTGTTCTGTCCTCATGTGGTGCTGTCACCAGCCCCTCTAAAAACGCTGCACAGGTTGTGTTAGGCGGAAAGGATGTCCTGAGCTAATCCCATACAGGCTTTGTGGACCCCACCCCCACTCCAGACTAAAGCCATCAGGACATTGGGAAAGACAAATCCCGTCACCACCAAAGGGAAGGTGGCTGGGACCTGAGGGTGGAGTTGGGCAGCCAGGTTGGATATAAAAACCAAACACGTGGGCCTTGGGATGACTTGCTGTGGCTCGCCTCCTGGCTACACAGCTCCTGGCTCACGGCCAGCTCTGAGTGCCATTTTGGGATTCCTGATCGGTGGATCGGGTAGGACTCATTTAAAACTTTGTCTCCCACTTTTCTCCCTGAGCTGTACATTTCCTCATTTCCCCTTCCCTTGTAAATGAACCTTTATTAACCTTTCACGTGTGCCTGCAGTAGAGCATTGATAAGTCCTTTTAAGCGCGCGGGTGAGGACCCACAGTCAGGCACCCCGTTTTGTATCGGGGTTGCTCTACAACAGTTGGGGCTCAGGACCCCAACTTTGGCCCTGTGACTTTGTCTGTGGCGAGTAACTTTTTTTTTTTTTTTAAAGCTTTTTATTTATTTATTTATACAAGCACTGGGTACAGTCAGAAGTGCGGGAGGGTGAGAGAATTCACCAGAGTCAGAGGGGAGAGCAGAGCAGGCAGACAGACGAAGTACACTGCTGAGGAGAGCACCGAGTGGCAGGAGAGGTCTGTGCGCCATGTGGGACTCTCGCCCGGTGGCCGGGGATCGAACCAGCGCTGCAGAGGCTGCGGGCAGCTTCACAGCCCAGTGCTCAACCGCTGCGCCACTGGGGAGGCCCCGCAAGTAACTTTTTTAATGGACATGGTGACATATCAATGTTTTCTATTTTTTTTAAAGGAGTGAATAATCCAAATAAAAAAATACCATACGAAGCTTGAGATTTGCCCTAATCTAGAAGTCTCTGAAGGTGACTTTAGGGAAATCTCCTGTTCCCACAACTAAGAACAAGAGGGATGGGATTTAAGCAGCAGTTGAGATAGTTGGAAGGCTCCAAGAGGGAGCTTCCTGACTATAGGGAGTAAATTTAGGAGCCAGCAGATTGTGGAAGTCACACTTTTCCAGATCAAATGTCCCCGCCGCTCACTGTTCTTCCCAGTGCTTGTACTGCCTTCTCCAGCCAGTGTAAATGCCTGGTGCCTAGACTGCCCAGCATTGCCAGGAAGCATCATGGTCCTCCCTCCCCTGGGACACTGGCACCTCCTGTAGCATCTGAGCTGTCCTCCCTGACTTAAAGCTGAGCCCTTGACTCCCTGCCTCCCCCGAGTTCTCAAGGGGCAGGGCAGCACCCCCTCATCTTTATCACCTGTTCCTGAGGTGCCCCTGGACTAGTCAGTTCACTAAAGTGGGGCTGAATTTCAGAATCGGTAGTAACCTGTTGGCAGCATTTTTTTTAAACCTTATTAAATTTGGAAAGCTCAAACCCTAACATACATAAAAATAGATGTTCTCAGGGCCTCGCTGGTGGTGCTGGGGTTAAGTCTCAAGCAGCCAGTGCAGGATGAATTCAATCCCCAGCCAGGGAGGTGACCCGTATGGCACAGCAGACCTCTCCTGTCTCACCCACTGCTCCCCTCAGCAGTGGATTTCAGTTGTCTGCCTGTTCTGTTCCCCACTTGGTCTCTGGTGAACCCTATCACCCCCCCTGCACTTCTGACCTATACCCCGGTTCTTGTATGCATACATAAATATAATAAATCTTTAAAAAAATAGATGTTTTCAGCCTCTGTTGGTAGGAAGGTAAACGGGTTCAAATTTTCTGGACTGTAACTTGAATTACTTAGAATTTTGTGTGTTGACCTAATTCTTCTCTTTTTCCACTCGCCCAAGGGGGGAAGGAATGGATTTTCATAAAGATATTGCTATCTTTCATAGCAATTTTTTTAAAAAAAGGCAATAGCAAAGCTGTGGCCAAGATCAATATGGCTTTGGATAAATAAATTGTTGTTTATATGGTAGGATGCTGTCTCGTTACTATTGATGAGAAACAAGCAAAGGGACAAAAGCCAGTTACATGGGAAGAGGCATGGGATCAGCCTGATTTTGGAGAAAACATCACTACACGTGAGGAGACATGGCTGGGAGCATTTACACCCTTGATTTGGGTGGTGGGATTTTAAGAGATTTAAACTTTCTTCTTTTTTTGTTTCTCTGAATTTTCTACCCTGAAGGGATGACTGTTTTGACATTTTTCAGTACCTAGTGTTCACTCTCTAAGTAAACACCTTGGTGCTCAAATTATGAAAACTGCAGAAATCAAATCACCCCGAATGTAGGAAGTCAGAGTTGGAGGAGGAGGAGGAATCCTTTGGTCACCTGGTTGACTTCAAAGCTCTCTGCTCATCTACACTTTTAAGCCAATCAATCAGCACCAGTGCTCCTGTCACCCCAGGTAAGCCGAAGGGGCAGCCACGTTTGGGAACCACTGTGGAGAGGCACACCAGTCAAGCATAGCTGTTTGCATTAAATAAAAAGAAGCACCAAAAAAAAAAAAAAAAGAAAAAGAAAAAGAAAAAGAAAATTTACTTCCTTAGTCACACTAGCCACATGTGAAGCCTCGGTAGCCACAAGTGGTTCGTGGCTACTGTCCTGGACAACACCGCTCTGGATGCGGCGCTGTTTTCGGGGGAGGACATCAGAAAGTTTCCTGCAAGGTGCATGGCTCGGGGAGGAGAAGGCCCGTCCCGGCCTGCTCCAGTGCAGAACAGCCTGCAGAGCCTCGCTCCTTGAGTGCCTAGAAAGTCCCTTTTGCTTTTCTGTGCCTGCCACTCCTCTTCCTCATGCACAGGCACACTTTATGTCCCGTGTTTATTTTGCAGGGCTCGACAGTCCCCATCCCTGCACATCTGCTAGCCTGGCCAGACCAACTGTTTACTTGGTATCCTAGTGCTCAGGGGCAAGCCGAACGGGGCCAGTATTTTCCACAGCTGCTGAAAAAGGTAAGTAAGCCAAGGCAGAATAACAAAAAGCCACTTCAAAAACACACCAGAACAAGTCAGAAAGCAGACACAACCAGAGCTGGAGACATACGCCAAACCCCCAACCTGACAAGAGAGCAAAAACAAGTCACGGGAGCTTCTAGCCCGATAGTTTCGAGAACATCGCGGTTGCTGACTTGAGAGTGGGCCTGTCCCAGCCATTCTGAGAGGAGCTGGGAGTCGGGGCCATGGGGGCTCAGAAACCTCACCTGAGTTCTGAGAACTGTGTGACTGGGGTGGTGGGACTGTCCCTGAGCGCGCCATATCTCTGGGAAGACAGAGGTGTGTGGGAATGGCAGGGTCAGGCTGGGTGGCTGAGGGTGTGGGGGCTGTTCCAGTCCTGAGATTGGCCACCATGTCAGGGGGTGAGGCCCATGGGGAATTCAGAGGACAAGGCTAACCGTTTCCAAGATGCTCCTCCTGCAGGACCCAAGCATAAAGATCCTAAACCAGAAGGAGCAGCCTGGTGCAGCCCTCTCCTCCTCCCATTACCCAGCACTGCTGCAGAACAGAAGCATAGTGAAGAGAGCCCTGCAGCTGGGGAGTGGGGCCTCTGTCCCTTACTTACTGTGTGACCCTGGGCAGATCAGCTTACCCCTCTGAGCCTTAGTTCCTTGTCCTGTAGATGATAGAGTTTGTCTAGACGCATAGCTCTCAACCCAGGCTGCATATCGTAATAAACCAGTGACTGACAAAAACAAATAAGATTCTGATTGTCCTGGGAAACAGCCTGGGCATCAGGATTTTTAAAAGCTCCTTAGATGATTCTAATGTGTAGCCAATACTGAGAACCACAGATCAACTCGTAGCTTCTTAGTTTTCCCATACATAGGAATCAACTGGGATTGTGTTAAAGTTCAGATTTAATGCTGTAGGCCTGAGAATCTGTATTTCAAGCATACTCTGGGTGATGCCCAGGGACCACACCTTGAGCTGTAGCTAGTCTGTTTTCAGAGCCCACTTTAACCAGCAAGCTGAATTCCAAGCTGCAGTAATTCCATCCGGTAGCTGGCAGTACTTGCATATTTCTGCCAATAGACACCATTGTTTCTAAGTTCTTTTTCTTCCTTCTTTCCCAGGAATCATTTAATTCCCACTTGCTGTTTGAATTCTAACTAGATGTTGTGGATATGACTCAAATAGGGATCTTCTTTTCAAGGGCAGAAAATGAAACAGAAATTCAGAGTGATGCAATTTCAAGATGGGGCAGTGGTTACTTTTAGTGGGAGGTTCGGGAAAGACTCCTTGTAGCTGGCAATAATATTTAACAAGGATGAGCATCTTACCTCTTTTAGGCACAGTTCAAGTGCTTTACACAAGTGGTCTCATTTAATCCTCACAACTATCCCATGCTAAGTATTGATAATGTCCCCCAGTTCACACACAAGGATGCTGAAGTTTGCTCCTTCCAAGCAAGAGTGGTGCTGAGACTTGAACTCAGGTCTCTATGTTGACTACTTGTCCACATAAAGCATGAGCAGTATTTGAGCTGTATGCTTCATCAGACCCCACCAGTCCCAACCAGACCCAATCAGTCCCAACCAGACCCAACCAGACTCAACCAGACCCAACTAGTCCCAACCAGACCAACCCAAGACACCAGACCCAGCTAAAACCAGACTAAAACCAGCTAAAACCAGACCCAGCTTCTTGGCATACAGTTATTGGGGTCATTGAGGGGTGAGATGGGATGTGTTTGAATTTAGTCTACTTAACCCATTTCTGCATTCATCTTCTATATTTCCCCAACCAGAAAAGAGCCAACCCTAGCTCTTGGGCCAGGCCTCAGGGCCCTTGCACAGAGCTTGGTTCACATCTTTTCCACTTGGCTGCCTGTCTCAGCATATGTCCTTGCTGCCTGCATCTTTCTTCATTTGTACCATGTTCTTTTCTCCAGGGGAGCAGGCAGTGTGTCCAGTTTTGTGACCATTTTCTCTTTTCTTAAGCAAGTCCCTTATTAGGAGTCTAGAGTGTAACCTCCCCAAATAGGACTGCATAGACAATCACCTGAGCCACTAAAGGTGCTGTGCATTCTAAACACTCAGATTCTTATCCAAAATGGTAGTCAATGCTCCAAGCCCTTACTTTTTACAACTTGACTCAGCTCCCCTTGTCACACTTCCTGTTATCACGGTTATGGAGTTGAGGTGGACACCTGGGGTGAGAAAGAAGGATTGGAAACTTCCTTATTTCTTCACTACATCTTGAGTTCCTGGAGACAGAGATTTTGTCTTTGCATTTTTGTATCTCTCGTATAGAACATGGTGCTGGGCAGAGAGATGGTATAATGTTTGTCACACAAGTGAATGAAGGTGACTTGGGTACATTTCTACGGCAGGGAGTGCAGGGCAGCAATGACAGTGGGTCCTGCTTGGCCCCCCAGGTGGGAGAGTCACCTCGCACAGGCTTCATTGTGTGAAGGCCCCGGAACCCTGTGGGTACACTTACTGGGAAATCTCTGTCTTTTATCACATCTTCTTGGCTTCTGCAGCAGCGCAGGAAGGTGAGGTTTTCTTACAAAACCTAAGACCCTTGATTTGCTGGGTAAATTGAGAACGTCAACTTTGAGAACCATCAGCGGAGGTCCTGTGTTATTTATACAATCCAGGGATTGTGGAATGAGGGGACCCATGGGTGATGGGGAAGAGACCCTTCTCTTCTTTACCTTCCAGAGAAGGGATATACTTCTCTGCAGTGGATATACTTAAAACTGTGTTTGGCTATTTAACCCGGAAAATTGGAATGAGAGAAGTTAAGGGTTTGATCCATATGGAAGAATTTTCCTCTGTGAATAGTTTTCTCCTGTCATTAAAAAAGGAAAGAAGAAAATAGAAAGAAAAGAAATCAACTACATACCAAGGCCAAGGTGGCTTTGTACTGGTCCATAGGGCAATAGTCCCATTTATTCCACTGGTGTTAAGTCAAGTATCAAGACTTTTCTCTTGCGTTTTCAGTCTTATGAGAAATAAGCCAGTGAGAGATGGTCCCTGTTCCCAAGGGAGAGAGTCCTGCGAGAGGGGCAGAAGTAGGAGCGGCCTCCTATGACCCTCTGGATCTAGATGGGAGCCACTATTGACTGCACATTATGACCCAACCCTCTTCCTCCAGTTTTCCCTTGGGGCCTTTGAGGTTAATCCGCTTTCACCCTTTCTGAAAGCATCATCCATTCCGGGGCGGGGGTGGGGGTGGGGGCAGTGCTATGACCTCATGGGTCTTTTACCCTGGGGCCGGGATTAGCATGATGTGAGCTGGGGACTGGTGCTATTTCTATCCTTTTTCAATGAACAGGCTGCTTTTCTTTCTTCTCATTGCCAGAGCTGGACTTTTTGGTCATGTGGACTCATGAGGTGGGCCTGGGAGAATGGATGAATTAAGTTTTTGCTTAATAAACCTCTCTGAGTGTCCATTGGTTCCCATGATTTAAATCTATGTGTTGCTGACTTTAAAACCTATTTATTTGCTTTGACTTCCTATCATTAAACTCACATTTCATGGAAATTGGATGTAAATGATTGAAAAGAGCTTTCGGAAGTCATTCTGAAATACATATGCAGTGACTGCATGTCCAGGAGCAGAAGCTGAGGCCAGCAGACGACTGTGCTTTGCCTAAAGTCTCACAGACAATTCGCGACAGAACCAGGAACAGGCTGCCCCCTCCAGAGCCCTGCAAAGAACCAGAATACCCAGCAGTGGAATCAATTCCTATTTTCAGGGGCCACTGTTACTGTGCAGAATCTGCTTTCTCCGGGAGTTGGGGCTGCTTCTTGTTCTCTGCATGCCTGCGCCTCCCAGCGCAGCGGCTGGCACATACTTGGGGCTCAGGGCTGGGCTGGGGGTGGGGAACTGAATTGGGTGGTTAAATCTGTCTTGTGCGACTCAGCTGTAAACAGCAGTAAATGAGGTAGGTGGGCCCCACCCCATCCTCTCCACTCAGCTATGTCAGAAGAGGGCTCAAATCTCACCTTATTTAAGAAGCCCTTCCAGACCAACTCAGTCTCAACTTTGGAGCAGTCCCTGTCTGTCCACCTCATCTCTTACCCAGCATACACTCTTGTGTGTGGGGAGGTGGGGATGTGAAGGAGCAGTTCTGAGTGTGAACTGTGGCTGTAAAAGCTGCGAAGCTCCAGCTCTACCATTTTCTAGCTGTGCGAGCTTGGGTGACCCCTCGAAGCCTCCATTTCCTGGTCTGTGAAGCAGGTGGGACTGCCATTCCTGCCCTCATGGGGAAGGGTGCTTCGGGACCTGTACCCAAGAGTTGGCTGCAGCACCAGGCACCCCGCACACTCCAGATATTATTGCCCTAAGTTTCACAACTACATGTTTTGCTTCTCCACCTTCTCTGAGGAGGTTAACCTCACCTGTGAACAGGGAAACAGTAGGTCATCTCGATTGCTATGGCAACCAAGTCAGAACACTCATGTGGAAATGCTTTGTGAACGCACAAGGCCTGGGTGTGAAGTGTGACCGCCCTCAAGATACACAGCTGGTAAGAGGAAGTGCCCTCCTGGGCATACTCGCCTCGTGTGCCACCACGGCTGCCACCAGGTGCCACCAGGACCCCTACCGGTGCCCCAGGGAACAGTTCTTTCCTCATTGTAGAGGCCTCCAGGCAAGCCCAGCAAGTGAAAGTGGTTTATGAGACAAGGACCTTCTCCTCAGGCAGCTCCCAGAGAGGTGTGAGCCAGTGTTATTCCACACACAACAGGAAGATGGAAGCTGGAGAGTGAGAGGCGGTTTCTTGTCCGGGCTGGCATTTGAGCTGGCCACTGAAAGATGGGTGGTGTGTATGGCTTGCTAGGGCTGCTGAAGCAAAATCCTACTCACTGGCTGCTACCCAACGGAAACTTATTTCCTCACAGTTCTGGAAGCTGGGTTGGTTTCCCGTGAGTTCTTTCTCTCAGCGTTCATCCTCGGTCACCCTCAGCCTGCCCTGTCTGGGTCCTCACAGCCTCCTCTTGCAAAAAGAGACTAGTCCTGCTGGATTAGGTCATGGCGGGGTGATCTAAATCTTACTCACCTCTTTAAAGGTCCCATCTCCATAACCAAGATGAAAATGCATACATTGTACAAAAATGAAAAATGATGTAAAAAATATATAAATAAAGGTCCTGTCTTCAAATACATTCTGAGGTTCTGGGGCTTAGGATTTCAGCACATTAATTTGGAGCCAGGAGACGTGTGTGTGTAGAGATGGGTGGGTTTGCATAATTTGACCTATAACAAGTAGGATGTTTTCTGACTTGTTTTCAATTATGGAAGTGCTCACAAAATGTTTCAAAATGTTGATAGGCGTGAAAAAGAAAATAAAATCACCAGGAGAGGACCACAGCTGTCCAGATCTGGCTTGACAAAACGAATATATAACTTGAGTCTTCCTAGCTCTGGCTGTTTTGCAACCTGCTCTTTTCATTTGATGAATATGTCATGAACTGCTCAGCCACAGCATCACTTCTGTATAGTGGTCCGGGACAAGGACGTATCCAATGTACTGAGTCAGTGGAGGGGGAATTCTGATGAGCCATGATCCGGGAGAGAGGTAGCCTTATGGGAGGGAGTGAAGTGAGTTCTAAGAGCCCAGTAGTCAGCTACATTTTAGGAAAGTGGAAATGGCCAAGAGAGTTCTCAGAATCAGGTAGATTACATTTATGAAAATGTGTCTGTGTATATATATATTTTTGCTGGGGTAGACAGTGGATGTCTGAGTGCTGCTGTTTCTGAGAAATCCTGAAGGATCCCCAGAATAAACCAGACATACGATTTGTGTCTGACTAATTAGAATCACAGTTAGACCCCACCGGGCTACTGAAATTCAATATTTGACTCCACAGGGAGAGACTGAACTTGATGAGCAGTTAATAGTTTTAATTGGGAGGTGGCTTTTTTCCCCCAGAGTGACTTCTAGTCATTAGTGATGATTGCTTTTCCCATCCTCACCCCTCTCTTTCCTTCCCACTGCCTATCCCTGGTGAGGAGAAATCTTTGGCAAAGCAAAGCTCAGTGACAAGGACTTAGTGATAAAGATTTATTTGTTTCTCACTGAAGTCTCTGAAGGACCCCAAAAGGGTAATTCAAGTTGCATCTGAAGGGGTTCTGGGGGGAGAGCAGGGGAAGGTGCATTGGGCCAAGCCCAAGGAGGTGCCCTGGGTGTGTCCCAGTGACCCAACTGGCAAATCAACAGGGGAAAAAATAGGAAAGAAATGCTTAGCCCTGCTATTGATGGTAACCGAGTCTTTCAAATTGTGCTTATAAATCCCTCGGCGTCTCAGATTTCATTGACTCCATCCTACAAGTGGGAGGAGAGGAAAATCCGAATGAATTTCTGGTGATTTGAGAGAGAAACTCACAGGACAATTTAGGAACGTAGAGATGTCAGCGAGAATGTTCTTTCCAAGACAACCCACTCTGAAGTGAGGAAACCAGTCAGAATGAAAAGTGTCTCTGGGGGCTCTGTTAGACAACAGACCAGGTGTGTCCGAGGCCTGGCACCCTTACCTGGCACTTTGGCTGAAGCAGGGGAGCCAGGGGCCCATTTCTTCTCACCAAGGCCAGCTGGGAATGGAGATGACTATTCACAGGGCCCCGCATATCACTCAGGAGAACAAGATTTAGATTTTTGTGAAAATTTTCAGCCTCACATCGTATCAGAGCTGATCCTTTGAACTGGTTTTTATTTTGATGCAGGAGATGCTTCTCCCTCCCAGCTGGGACCCCTTGGTGCTTGGGCTGGTGAGGGCAGCTGGAGTGTTAGCATCAGTTGGCACCACCAGGGGAATGAGAAGCAGGCCTGGGAGCTCAATTTTACTGTCAGAAACAGAAGAGGGATGCAGAGCATGTAACTTATTAACTGAAATGGTGAGAGCAAGAAGTCTGTTTGACAACACCGTCCTTTGCGTTCCTGTGATCGCAGAAACAGAAAGGCTTTCTTCTGGTAAGTACAGGATTACGCAGACACCCCTCCCTTTTGCTGTGGGCATGAAAGGGGTGTGCAAACGAGGACTGCTTTTAGGAGCCTCCAGCCCCTCCACTTTTAGCAAGGACATGAAAAACCAAATTCACTTCAAGCCTTAACAAATCCCACATCCTGAAAGCCCAATGAAGATCGCTTGCTACAAAGAAAGGATTTATCACTTTGCAACAATCCACATGATTACCTAAAATAGACAGTTCTTTTTGTGCATTATCTGTATCTATGCATTTTTTTTTCCCACAAAACAATCTCTGTTGAGATTGTGCTGTGTGCTCTGCCTGCAGAGGCTGCACCCAGTAAGAAAACCACACAGGCCGGGGCTCTGGGACGCACACCCCCTCATTCTGTGCAAGTGAGGTTTTTGATGTCTTTAGCACCCACCTCCAGTGCCTGGTGAGATAGTCACACCACCTAGAAGGTGGGAAATGCTGCTTAAGAACAGCACCCACGAGCCAGCAGAGGATCGCCCTGGAGGCTGGCAGCTCCTCTCCAAGCACGTGCTGGCTGAGCCCACAGACTCTCTGTGGCTGGGAACCAGGTAGCCAGGGGAGCGAGGGGTGCATCTGAGCAAGAAGTCCCTGGCAATGAATGACACACCAGAGGCCCAAGGCTGGCAAGGTGCTCAGGGCCAGGGTGGCCATCGGGACATTTCTGCATCATCCAATGATGAAAGCTGATTCTATTGATGTCACTTTAATTAAAATAGGAGGGCCGGTTCCACCCAAAGGCGGAGGATGCAGAATGAGATTTGAGGACCAGGAAGCAAAAATGCCACCTCCTCTGAATCTGTTGCTGATGAACTGAAATGGAGGGAGAAAGCAGGCCATCGTTAGCGCCTTAAAGTGCTGAGGGCGGGAAGAAGGGACAAGGGGTGGATGTAAAAGACAGACTTGTCTCATTCTCCAGGGAATGAAAACTACTCGCAGGCAGGGGTTTTGTGTTTTGCTTCTTGATGCATCCCTTGCTCCTAGGAACTCAGTAAACATTGGCTAATGAGTATGTCTCAAATGTTGAGAAAGCTGCTCGCTCCAGGAAGCGCTGCATTACCATGAAGCCCAAGGGGAAACAGAAGTGGCGTAGGTCAGGTGCCTGTTCTTTGGGCGGGCCATAGGCGCGTCCTATAACTGCTTGGTGTTCAATCATTCATTGATGCCTTTGCTGATACATTCAAGGAACCAGCCCCTTTGTGTACATACTGTGTGTATTAGTCATTGGGTATAGTGATGAAAGCCAACATTACACCCTCCATGAGCTGGGCTTGGGGTACACCGTGCTGACTCAGGCTGGGCCCACATCCTTTGGCAGGATACAGACAGCTACCACCTCTGGGAATAGAGATGCTGGGAAAAGCCTCTTGGAGGAGGGCATGTGTGGGCTGCCTTGTGAGTAGGCTGGGAGGGCTCTGGGGGGTTCAGGTAGTGTCAAGACCTGCTGGGGCACCTTCGGGCCACACCGCCTCACTCTTCACCTCCCTACTTCCCAAATCCACCCAACGGGTCCTTTCTTCTCTCTGGTCCTTCCTCCTCCATTCCCAGCTGTGCCTCCCCGGAACCTGGCGCCGCTGTACTGTACCCGTAAACATGCATCATTGTTCACTCCGGGCCACGCAAGAGCTGGAGCTTGGTGACATCATTCCCGGAGCTTGGTGACATCATTGGTGCTGGTGTGGCGAGGGCACCGATTCCCCTTCAGTT